TACAAAAAGTGCTTATCTAAAAATCCTGCCATCTTCCTATCTGTATTACTACACTCTGATGAGTACACATTCACTTAGAACTGCTTCATAATCAAGTTGATGCCTTTTTCTGCATTGTGGTATATGAACTAATACTACCCCTAAGATAGGCTTTGGCATTTATGATTTATTCAGACTGCTTGGCTTTATTTATTTCCCTTAATACATACAAACATTTTGTTTTTCAAAGTCTGTTTAATGAACTAAAGCACTTAATTGTAACACACATAAAAATCAGGAAGGGAGAAAATACTTTGCAGCTTTTAAATGTAAAATCCTGTACCAGTTACTGCAAAAACTAGTGTGAAATGATTTGGAGTTTTGAAAGAAATGGATTTAAGAACAGGGATTACCAAAGCACAAGTTTAAATATAAAAAAAAACATTCAAATTTAACTGAGGTAACACAAGATAAATAGATGAAAAACAAGTTTATTAAAAAAAAAAAAAAAAAAAAGAAAGTTGAAATGAAAGAAATTGATGCATATAGCCATACACTGATATTTGGTACAATATAAGTTTGGTTAAAAAAAAAAAAAAAAAAAAAAAAAACATACTCACATAGCGTTTATGTTACTTTAAAAAGTACAACTACTAAACACTATTGTGTTCTAATTGAACAAAGATTAACATTTAACAGGGATAGAAATTTAGAGCATTAAATCCCTCAGGGGAGAAAACCAGATTCCCAAATTTAAGATCCAGGATTATTCACTGCCGGTTCAGAAATCAGAGCTACCTCATAACATCCAAGTGTGACATCAGCTGCACTCTTTACAGGAGACTCAAGATGAACTCTGTGGAGCCTGATCTCAAAGTTTTTAAGTCTGACCCTGAAACCAGAAGAGGATCTTTCTGTCTCTGCAGAATCATTGTGATCCAGTGATTTCAGTTCTGCATGATCACGCTGATGCCTTTGGTCACAGCTGAAGTTCTCTTCCATGTGTGTACGTTCATGAAGGTTATGACTGCTCGATCGTGAAAAGCTTTTGTCACAGTGTCTGCACTTGTATGGTTTCTCTCCTGTGTGGACTCGTTTATGCACTTTAAGCTCACCTGCAGTGGTGAAGGATGACCCACACTGGTCACACACGTACTTTTTGACTCCACTGTGAATGAGTACATGCTTTTTTAATGCACTTGATGTGGGGAAGCCTCTCCCACATTCTTTGCAGTAGTTCATTTTGTCTCCAGTGTGTCTACGCTGATGTAATTTTAGGCTTTGTTGCCGAGTGAAAGTTTTTCCACAAAGGTCACAACGAAAGTCTTTCCCACCACCACAGTGACGACAGGGTTGACTACTGGATCCATCTGTGTCGCTCTGCTTCTAAACAAAGACACAAAGACAGTGTAAGTCAGGGAATTCCTTCAACATTTTTAGAACTTTTATTGTCATTGTGCAGTTTCTTGCACAGCGAAATTGGGTAGCATGTGGAAGGGATTAAGCACCATCACAGATTACAAAGCCAGAGACACTGCGCCGATCAATGCAGACTCTGCATTTACCAATGAGCTGAACGCGTTCTACACCAGTTTCGAGGTTAGCCAGGTGGCTAATGCTAACTACTGCCTTACAACAGAGGACGGTGATGTCAACGGCAAGGGACCGGTGATCCGTATCGTAAAGCACGCCGTCCATGCGTCGCTGAGAGTGAACACAAGGAAAGCGGCTAAGCCAGATAGCATCACCGGCCATCTGCTGCGTCTGTTCTGTGGACCAGCTAGCAAGTAAGCTCACTTCCATTTTCAGTGAGTCTCTGGCAAAGTCTGTGGCCCCCACATGCTTCAAGAGATCCACAATCATCCCTGCGCCCAAGAACAACAAGCCCTCATGCCTGAATGACTACCGGCCAGTTGCACTGACTTTGGTGGTAATGAAGGTGTTTGAGAGGCTGTGGAAAAACATCATCTCCTTCTCCACCACAAATACCACAGATCCACTCCACTTTGCTTACCAACCCAACAGATCCACAGAGGACGTCATCGTCCATATCCTGCACACCACTCTCAGCCATGTGGACAGGAAACAGGGTAACTATGTGAGTAGAGCAGTGGTGAGAGAACACAGGGGTGTGTTCTCTCGCCACTGCTCTACTCTGTCTATACTTCAGACTGCGTGGCCACTCATAGCTCTAATACCATTGTGATCTACTGACGACACAGTGGTGTTGGGTGCCATCTCCAACAACGATGAGGCGGCCTACATGGATGAAGTGAAGAATCTTGCATCGTGGTGCCAGGATAACCACCTCCAGCTGAACGTCTGCAACACCAAGGAGGTTGGTGTAAGTATCCCAGTGTCCACATCTCCTCAGGTATGACATGGTCTGCCCACATACAAAAAGGCTAGCCAGCACCTGTACAACTTCTGACAACTGAGGAAGTTCGGTGTCTGTCCAGGGATCCTCAGAACTTTCGATTCAGCCCCTGTGGAGAGCATCCTCACACAGAACATCTCATCCTGGTATGGGAACGGCTGTACTAAGGATGGCAGATTTATATATTAGATTGCTGCTGAAGGACTCCTCTCCTCTCCCTACAGGACATTTACACCAGGAGATGCTGGTCCAGAGCAGCTCAGACACTGAAGGACCCAGTCCATCCCAACAACAAACCGTTGCTCCACGCCATCCTGTCAAGAACAGAGAGACTCAATACCAGCTTCTGGTTCAGGACATGCAGGTTAAAATAATTCTTCATTTTTGCATCCAGTTTATTTAAAACAAAAACAACTGTATCTAAGCAAAAAGTTATATCATATTCTTCATAAATACACATGAAAAGTTGCAACCAAATCGGTCTCGCTCCCAATTTAAAGCAACAATAACTGATTTTAGTTAGTAAAGAAGATAATAAGTCATCTAACACTGGCCAAATTGTAGCAGTCTTAACTATGGGAGAATGGGGAGATTGTGACTACAGAAGAGTTATTACTTACTGGTTTTATGACTATGGAAGAAATAAATAATAGCTGAGACTAAAATACAATAAGCACTGCTTTTATATGCAGTAGAATTACTAAGGAGTTATTACAGAAAGTTAACAAATTGAATGAGCAGAGTAGTTCCAAACAGTCAGGCTAAAATTAAAAGATAAATACTAGGGGTGCAACGATATTCGTATCGATATTGAACCGTTCGATACAGTGCTTTCGGTTCGGTACGCATATGTATCGAACAATACAACATTTGTAATTTATTTTATCAACTTTCCTTCTGACGATGCTGTCTGTGTTGAGCGCTCAGTGAATCTGCGTTCGACTACTCCGCCTAGGCTCGACAGTGCAGCCTAGGCGGAGTAGTCGAACGCAGATTCACTGAGCGCTCAACACAGACACCATCGTCAGAAGGAAGAGCGCAGGGCAAGCTAGCGAGACAGAAGTTAAGCTCTCCTTACAACATGGACCTCCCCCACCCTCATTCAGATCTGGCGTTTGGAATTATTTTGGTTTTCATGTGACGTATGACCCTGAAGGTAAGCAGTCATGAACTAAAGTAAAACAGTATGTTGGATGTGCCATGCAATGCTCAATTACATGGGTGGGAACTAGTGTGTTAGCGCAGTTAGCTCGTTAACGTGTTGGCCGTCTAGCCCCATGAACGGGCGATCGGCGGTAGCTCGTTAACGGAGATTTGCCGTGTTGTGGCGTTAAGGTCATTTCAACGAGATTAACCTGAAAGCACTAGTGGGAACACAACGAATATGACTGCACATTTACGCAGACATCATCCTAGTGCAAAGACAAGTGGAAGCAGAAAAAAAACAAGCAAGCATGCTACTAACTTTAGCCAAGTCATTTAGACAGCTGTTAGCACATGATTCTCCTTATGCTGCTGAGAATATAGCCCAGAAGAAGCGGATAGTATAGCTTTTATTTTGGAAAGAGACATTTCTCTGTAATAAACTCTCTTTTCCAAAGATGAGTGAATCCTCAATCAGATACAGGGCTTGCAATATCGCTAGCCCAACGTCCCGGAGCTAGCGATTTTTTTCAGTCGGGGTACCAAAATCTATCTCTGCCCTGCCCGTCGGGCTATTGTAGGAAGGAAAAATATATGTCAATGCTTTTGCATTCTTTCGGAAATGTAGCTGGGTAATTATGTCATTGGCATCGGTGAGCCACTGTCAATATGTGACATATTGAAGTCGCGTTTGAATTTGCACTTGTTTTTTTGCTTTCACTTTGCAATCGTGCGAACTGTGTATAGAGAGCGACAGCACTGATCTGTGAGTGATGATAATTTGTGCACCAATTCCTCTGACATCGTCTTATTAATCGTTAGCTTACTATGCAAACATGACGAGTGAAATCTCCCGCAGCTTAAACATGTGAGAGGTTGATCGCGCAGAGAATCGCTGAGCTTATGTGAGTGCGTGTGTAAAAGCAGCAGGATATATATTTGACTACGATGACCTGGATGACTGAGAACCTTCACAGACACAGATATATTATAGTTCTGCTGAGCCAAATAAGACAGGTCAGGGTGAAGAAGTGACAGCCAAAGAAAAGCTTACCACAAAACGGAGAAGTTATGACAAATCAGACTATAAGGCAAATAGAAAGTGCAGCTTTATGGTTTCATGGACAAAATAATTTCTGTGGCTGCAAAATGACGAGCTAAATAACCAGGGCTGCACATAAGTGGTCCGCAGGTGCGCATTCGCTGTCAAAATAAAAAACACGCACAAGGGTTAGGGTTAAATTTAAAAACTGTACTTTTGAGTTAAAATATATATTTATAATTTTAATAAATGACAAATTAAAAAGGCATGAACATTTTTTTTTGTATCGAAAAAATATCGAACCGTGAATTTTGTGTATCGTTGCACCCCTAATAAATACATACCTCACAGTAACTGCACTTGTAGAGTTTCTTTCTGGTGTGGATCTCTTGGTGGAGTTTCAGGTGACGTGGAGATTTAAAAGCCTTATTGCACAGGTCACATTTATAAGGTCTCTCCTCAGTGTGGGTAAGCATGTGGCTTTGTAAGTGTGTGGCTGTTGTAAACAGTTTCCCACACTGATCACAGCAGAAACCATCCTGTCCGGTATGAATCCGTAAGTGAACATTGCGGTACCCTGGCGTGCTGAAGGATTTCCCACAAATGTCACAGCTGTACGCCTTAACTCCAGAGTGGGTAACTAGATGACATTGTAAGTTACTAATTTGAGCAAAAGTTTTACCACACTGATTACAGCTGTATGGTTTAACTCCACTGTGGATGTTTTTGTGTGTTTTTAAGCTTCTAGGATACGTAAAAGACTTTCCACACAACTCACAGCTGTATGCTTTAACTCCACTGTGGATGAGTTTGTGTGTTTTTAAGCTTTGAGAATGGGTAAAAGACTTTCCACACAAGTCACATCTGTGTGCTTTAACTGCACTGTGGATGATTCGGTGTGTTTTTAAGCTTCCAGCTTGGGTAAAAGACTTTCCACACAACTCACAGCTGTATGCTTTAATTCCACTGTGGATGAGTTTGTGTGTTTTTAAGCTTTCAGCTTGGGTAAAAGACTTTCCACACAACTCACAGCTGTATGGTTTAACTCCACTGTGAATTAGTTTGTGTGTTTTTAAGCTTCTAGGATAGGTAAAAGACTTTCCACACAATTCACAGTTGTACGCTTTAACTCCACTGTGAATTAGTTTGTGTGTTTTTAGATATCCTTTCTGACTAAAATATTTTCCACACAACTCACAATTGTATGCTTTAACTCCACGGTGCATGAGTTGGTGTCTTTTTAGGCTTCCAGGCTGGTTAAAAGACTTTTCACACAACTCACAGCTATATGGTTTAACTCCGCTGTGGATGAGTTGGTGTGCTTTTAAGTGTCCTTTCTGGGTAAAACATTTTCCACACAAGTCACACCTGTACGGTTTAACTCCACTGTGGATGTTTTGGTGTGTTTTTAAGCTCCCAGACTGGGTAAAATCCTTCCCACACTCTTCACAGCTGTATATTTTCTCTCCCGTTCTTCTGTGAGGTTTGTCGGCCTCCTGAGAGCGCTGACTTCTCGCTCCATGTTGGTCCTGCAGTGACAGAGATACAAACAGAGGCAGTGAGTGAAATGCAGTCGTGGAACAAACTGAAACTGACTCCATTAGTGGAATCAAAGATGTCAACAAACACCAGCTGTGCACAGTTTCAATAACAGTGTAACTGTCATACTTTTCTCACCTCCTGCGTTGAAGTCATTGTTTCCTCTGTAGTGGCTGAGCTGAGTCCAAATGGCTGAAACTGTTCCTCTGCTGCTCCACCAGACTCTTCTCCTCCTGTTACTCAGCTGGGACACAAAAGTATAGATATGTATTTTATCCCTGACAAGAAGAAGCAGAGCAAATAAACATTACTACACTCAGTGACAACAATACCTATGAAGCTTCAAGGTGAAACCCCAGAAGCAAAAAGAAAGTCATCAGCTGCCTACAAGAAGTTGAAAGGGAAAAAGCCACTGAGCTCCCTGCATACCACCACCTTTACCCGGTGGATGCTGCACCCTGTATATATGAACTTCCATATATACACAAAGAAGGAGTCCCACTCAGGCTCATTGGTAGCAGCATAAACTCAGCCACCTACAACATTTCCAAGCACCTCATCACCATCCTAGCTCCCCTTGTGGGGAACACAGCCCATCACATCAAAAACTCTGCTGACTTCACCAACAAGGTCCACAAACTTACACTTGATCCAGATGAAACCAGAGTGTCCTTTGATGTGGTCTCACTTTTCACTTGTACACCTCCAACCGAGGCAGTGGAGACTGTCAGGAAACAACTACATCAAGACAGCTCCTTAAAACCAGAACCAGCTTCACCCTGATCAGGTCTGCACACTGTTAGACCTCTGCCTTACCACCACATATTTTAAATACAACGAGGGTTTCTACAGACTCAAACATGGATGTGCTGTGAGCTCCCCAGTGTGTCCCATTGTAGCCAAACTTTACATGGAGGAGTCAAAGGAGCTTGCAAAGAAAAGCGTCTGGACTTCTTTAAGTTGCTTGAAGACGTTTCACCTCTCATCCGAGAAGCTTCTTCAGTTCTAAGGTCAAATGGTGGAGAGTCCCAGATATAAACCTAGTGGCAGTTTCCCCCCACAGAGGGACAAAAGGACCCCCTGATGATCCCCCCTGATGATCCTCTAATCGCCTGAGCCAAGGTGGGAAACTGGGTGTGGGTCCCAATCAGCCAGAGTTTCGGGTGAGTTCATTGTGAAACCTGGCCCCACCTTATCATGCGAATTCCTGAGGTCAGATGGCCCAGGATGTGAGTGGGCGTTAAGGCGTCTGGGAAGGGATCTCAAAACTGGATTATAGATGAAAGATTATAGATGATTAAAGATTATAGATGAAAGAAGTCATCTATGTCCACTGTGAGTGACCATCTTTGAACAGAGGCGGGGGTTTACGACACCAACTCTCTGCCATCTATAATCCAGTTTTGAGATCCTTCCCAGACGCCTTAACGCCCACTCACATCCTGGGCCATCTGACCTCAGGAATTCGCATGATAAGGTGGGGCCAGGTTTCACAATGAACACACCCGAAACTCTGGCTGATTGGGACCCACGCCCAGTTTCCCACCTTGGCTCAGGCGATTAGAGGATCATCAGGGGGTCCTTTTGTCCCTCTGTGGGGGGAAACTCCCACTAGGTTTATATCTGGGACTCTTCACCATTTGACCTTAGAACTGAAGAAGCTTCTCGGATGAGAGGTGAAACGTCTTCAAGCAACTTAAAGAAGTCCAGACGCTTTTCTTTGCAAGCTCCTTTGACTACGAGGACCTGGATGACTGAGAACCTTCACAGACATATTTACATGGAGGAAGTGGAAAGAAAGGCTCTTGGCTCTTTAACAGGAAGACTCTAGACTAACTTTTTGCCAAGATTGCCCTGGTGTGCCTAACTTTTTTTCTTAGGTGCACCACAATTTTTCAACCACATCGTTGAACACCGCAGTTTTAACTGTGACTTTTTCTTTAAATTGCTGTGCTTACAGACAATATTGATTTGTAAATGATTAACTAACAATCTTGTCAACACAAAGTTCTTTATTTGGAACACTGCTCTACAAGAAAGATATGTTACTGAAAAAGTGCTTGTGCTTAAAGTGCTTTGGCAGTTTTAGGTAATATTGTAGACAATGTTAAACTTAGTCATCACATCGGCCTCCTCCGTCGACCTGTTTGCTGCTGCCTGCCACTGAAAGCAGTGGGGAGTTGGGGCACTTGGACAATGCATTTATCACAACATATACGGTAATTGTTTTCTGGATACACTGTGCTTTTTCAGCGTTTCAATTAAGAGTCATGAATACAGAATTGCCGGGCATGGTCTTTCCACACTCACGACAGTAAACGCTAGTGGTGCAACGGATCACGGTTGATCCGAAATCCAAACCGATCCCTCTCCACGGTTCGGTACGCACGTGATCCGAAGATTCGAAAAAGAAAAGAAAAAAAAGTATGTGTTTGGTGCGCTTGATCAGTCTGTCAAGCAGTAGTTATGGTCAGCGCTAGCGGTCCAAGTGAAGGAGCAGAGGAGTTTGCGGCATTTAAGCAGCCTTTTGCTGCCCGATCCGACCGGGCTAAAGCTATTACTAAAGCTATTGGGGTGTTTAGCTGCAGACGGGAGGCCATATTCCGTTGTGCAAAACAAGTGGTTTAAACTGTGATGAACGTGCTTGAGCCACGCTATGATATCTCGTTGTGCGTCCACTTCAGTGTGACAAGATGGTTCCAAGCATGTATGAGCAGGAGAAGTTTAAAGTCATGGCTGAACTGTCCCAGGCATCTTCTGTTGCTCTAACTACAAATGGGTGAAGCTCCAGGGCAACGGAAAGCCACGTGACCGTGACTGCTCGTTATATCACAGCGGAGTGGTAGATACAAAGCCCTGCACTGCCCTATAGATTACATTAGATTAGATGGAACTTTATTTATCCCTCGGGTGGGTTCCTCCGGGAAATTCAGTTTCCAGTAGCACAGCACCGACAGAAGTTGCAGAATGTGAGCAGAAATATACCATATTTACACATATATAAATACAGAGAATACAAAAGGGATAAATAGAATAAATAGGAATAAGAATACAAGGGAACGGCACATTTCAAGTATTCTGAGTCTATTACACCGTTGGTTATTAACAAAAACTATTGCACAGTGAAAAGGCACTACAGCTACTTGTTCCCCCCTTTGTCCCCGTTTCCCCTCCCTCTCCCCTCCAGCGAGGAGTTAAACAGTTTGATGGCGTGTGGGACTTTTTAAGTCTGCTGGTCCTTGCCTTTGGGAGAAGCAACCTGTCACTGACAGACTCCTCTGGTTGTTTATGGCCGTGTGCAGAGGCTGCAGAGGCTGCCCAGCCTGGTCCATAATGTCCATATTGCACCTTAATTTGTTTTTATATAAGTGCGTGGAATGAGTCTTCAGTTGATTAAATAAGTAAATGGCGAGTCGAATTTTTGTCTTTTTTTCTATTTTTGATGATCCAAAAATCGATCCGATCCGTACCGTGAGATTTTTGATCTGTTGCACCACTAGTAAACGCAGTGCATTATGTTGTCAGCTTTACTGTATCACAGCCAGGGAAATTGGTCAAGCTACTCTATTCGAAATGTATTCACGTTCCCCCTTTTACTGTCAGTGGGCTGTGGCTCGGAGTCAATCATATGTGGCTCATTATTTGATGCGGTCTCTGAACCAGTGTTAAAAATAAGCTGAAAGGTTGATGGCTCCGTGTCAGAGCACTGGCTATGAATTTCAGACAGATCAGGCCTTAACTTAATGAAAAAGTTATCAATTGTTCTTTTCATCTTTCCTCATCACCCACAGCTACATCCCGTTCTTTCGAGCCTCGGCCTAGATTTCTATAATCCATTTGATTCTGATTCAGCAGGTCTGGACTTGATTCAATTCAATTTTGACTCACACAGTCAGAAATATTATAATTCTAGTAATTTATCAGTATCGACATTTGTCAGACTTCATCAGAGGTGTAAGCATTATGGCAGTCAAAGTATTTGAGGATAAAACACAGGAAAACATGAAGGACATTTCCCTGGCCTGGCTTTTTACAGCAGATAACCCGTTTTAGCTGTTTTGTGGTTGTTGAAGTAGTTTTGTGAGTTTTAACCTGAGATTCTGGCATTTCTGGCAAAATATATTTATATTTCAAAATCCATTTACGATTTAATAAATAGATATCGCATTGTTCATGCTAAAATCAATTTGAATCAGTTTTGAATCGATTTTCTAAACCCACCCCACCTCACACACCAGGGTGAGTTGGGGTGGGTTTAGAAAATCAATTCAAAATTGATTATCACTTCAAATAGAAATGAGGCTGTAGAGGTTTGGTGCAGGCAGAAAAACAGCTGCAGGGACAATGAAAAGACTTTTCTGCTCCAACTTCTCCCAGCATGCTGAGCTAATGATTAGTTGGTGTTTTTCTCCAAACACTCTCTCACTCTTCTCTCAACGTGTTCACAATAAACTGTGAACAGACACCGAGGAGAGCAGCAGAAGACCTCATTCAGGAGCTAAACTCAACATGAACTGAACTCACAGTAAAGTTAGCTCGGTGCTTACCTTTAGATGAGCCCACAAACCGAGAGAAACTCCGCGATGAAGCTGCAACTCTTTCCAAACACAGGAAACAGATCAGGGAGCAGAGACCCACGTGGTTCACGCTGATCTCAGCTACGATCCAGGAGACAAGGGTGGGCAGATCGATGCAGATATCAGGACGTTGGTAGTGGTTTATGATCGATGCTTTAGTTTGTTTCTCTCCTCTAACTTCACTACTTTACTTCCGTTTCGTGAAAAAGCAGCTCTCTCTGCTCCTCTCCTGCGCACACACTTTGCTCCGCCCCCTTCTTCCTGCTTTCCCGTTATTAATCTTGCAAACAGCAACGCAGTCAGAGAGGGAAAGAATATCCAGGTCGCTCATTTAGTGCTGAAATGAAGTTTCAGTCATACCTGTAAACTAAAAGCTGACATTAAAAATAATATATTTTTTATATATTATATTAATCCCAATCAAATCTACCCTTTCACAGGGTAGAAAGGGGAGTGGATGCTGCCGCTGCTGACAGACCACGTGACTTTCGCGCATTGCATTGTGGGTACAAGTGGCAAAAAAATCAAAACACTGCATCAAGCGCTAGTATTTCCAGCACCGGTAATAATTAATTCTGCGGTTTTAATCCCTACTTGCATTTTATTTGCCCCAAAAACAGTGATGTACAAAACGACGGCGAACACGGCAGGTCTGTACAAAGACAGACTTGACGAAAAGGCAAAAAAAAGTACTTTTGGACATATTTACTGTCAGATATTAGCACCAGCTGTTAGCCACTGGGCTGTTTTCGGATAGCTGGTGTTCTGGGAATCGATCCTACCTGGAAAAACATCCTACCCAATGTTTCCGCGCAGACGTGGCGCATGCGCACAAATCCAACAACGAATTAACTTTTTTCTCTCACCCATCCGGAATACTTCTTAAGGTTATGGTTATAGTATAACGTCATGCTAAGGTGCTGTTCTTCCTTCTGTGCCATTGTAAGGTGACCTTGAGGGTCTTAAAGGCGCCTATATATAAAATGTATTATTATTATTATCATAATCATCATTATTACTATTATTAGAATGTGTTAAATTACCACTTTTATTAGAATTTAACAATCCAACTTTAAACTTCAAGAATAAAGACGTCTGAACATAAAAACAGTTTTTATTTTTCGAGTCAAATCATTCTTATTTATGTAGCACATTTAAAAACAGCAGAAGTTAACCTAAAGTGTTTTTCAGACAACACATTCACATTCCATGTCTCCAAAGATCACAGTTTCACAACACATGATAAACTATGAAAGCTGCATTTGGTTGTTTTAATCAACACAACAAAACACACCAACAGTGGAAAGAAAAATTCACACACATCATGAAATGTTGATGAACCATGGTGATTGTGACAGAGCAGTGAACTTCATAATAACTTCATACTGTCACCGGGTTCAAACTAAAGGAATGCTCACAAGAAATCATCAGAGTATCAAACTGTAACATTATAAACATTATTACTTAAAAAAATATTTTGTAGTATTTAGTTACTTTTATAATAGTGTAAATCAATTGTTAACTCAGTTACTTTTTTGAAGAAGTAACTATAACTAATTACTTCTTCAAAATAACTTGCCCAACACTGAAAACAACCCGATGAGATCCATGCCAGTGCACACAAACTGGACCTCCACTAATGGTAACATGCGCAAAGGTGGTTTTGGAATGGTTAGCCTTTATTTCATTAGTCACTGTAAAAGCTGCTCTTTAGAAACACAGGAGTGCACACTGCACTAATATTTTTTTTCAGCTTATCTTCCTGTAATCTCACTTCAGGTATTAACAATCACACAGTTTTGTGTTTGGACTTTGGAAGGAAAAATCATCTTTTTAGCATCTCAAACACGCCCTCTGCAAACTTCATACCCACAGCAGGTTTTTGCAAAAAACCCTGTTCACTGCGAGTGGAGAACAGCCAAGTCTCCTCCTTTGATAAACCTCCACATGTGCCACTGAAAACAGTTAAATTAGTTTGAATCTGAAATCCTGGCTCAAGCTATTTGTTGTGAGACAATTTCTTAATTTTACACACTAAACTGCTTATTTAGACACACTTTACACAGAGTTAATCAAATACAACTAATGCTTTAACAGCATAAGGATTTCATAATACAAACATCAAATCAACAAGAAAACAGCTTCAGAACATCTGGATCAAAACGCATTCACTAAAAATAACAAAATGTGGCCAATTTGTGGATACGGTAAACACACTAAAGTGAAAGGAGGAGCCAAAAGTAGAGGTTTGATGGAATTTTAATTACCTAAAATGTGATGTTTAAAATGGTCCTGATGTGTGCTGCTGTAGTGATGTGACGGTCGCGAACGAAACGGCTCTTAGAGCCGACTCTTTGAGTTGAGAGCCGGCTCGTGTTTTTTTTTTTCTTTCTTTCTCTCACCCTCTCTCTCGCACTTGTTTTCTGCTTCACTCCGCATGTAAGCCTTGTGCTTGCACAGGGCAGAGGGGGGAGGGGCAGTAGTTACACTCGCAGTAGCACAGGAACAGAGCGGGAGGGAGAGAGAGGCCGTATCCCAATTCAGGGTCTGCAGCCTTAAAGGCCGCATTTTAAGGCCGATTACGTCACAGCGACGCGACCAAGGCTGTCCCAATTCAAAGGCTGCTCGAAATGCAGCCTCAAATGAGTCCTTCATTTCCCTGAATTTTAAGGATGTAGCGGTGTAGACTTCGTGGCCCAACATTTCCCAGACTTCATAGCGCGGAGGTGGGTGTGGATAATTTTGCCGAAAAAAACGGTGCAAGAGGAGCGGCCGAAGAGTAAACTTTTAAAAGTAAGTACTGAATATTATGTAACTTATTTATGCGCGAATGTTTAATAATGAAGAACATTAAAACATTCCTGTTGGCCACATGTCGGCAAAGTTATGTGACATTAGTGATGTTTGTACTAACTTGGTTTTAAAGCCTTTACTTTAAAATATACGCCGTTCAATAGCTGACCTTAATCTTACAGAGAATGTGATGATTTTATGGATAATTAAAGTCAGTCATATATCCACAAACACAACAAGCTGAAAGTCAGTGATGCTGCTCGGTTTGCAGTCCTGAATATCACGGCACAAGCAGGATTCACTGCACTGTTAATGTTAGCTATGTTATATTGCTGCCTCTGTTCGGTGGTGTCGAGCCAAACGGACTTTAACGTGTGTTTGAACGAGCTGACGGTTCACTCGTTAAGCTGAAAGAAAGATGCTTTAATCACAGCAGTCACACATGTGTCCACTGTACCATCTGGGAACTCTTCTTGTTTAGCACTCGTAATAACACAAACACTAAATCCTGCTTCTCTGGTGCTGTTGTGTAGCAGTGTGTACACCTGAGACTGTCACCTGTCTGTCTGTCCTGCACTCTCTCTGTTTCTTTCTCTCTGATTGTGGAATAAAAGTATGAACATGTGTTTATAAGTTACACTTGTGTTTGAATCCTGCAGCTTATCACACATTTGATTTCCATGTGTGACGACTGCAAGTGTCCAGAGTGAGGACAGACTGAGGGACCCACTGCTGCACATCATCTGTGAGGCTTTGCAGCCCTGATGATCCACCAGGACAAACTCAGCAGTGTGTGAGGAAGAGGAGGAGGAAGAGCCAGCAGCAGCTGACAGATGGAGAGAATAGACAGACTGTTCCCTGTTTGTGAAGGACTGCTAGGAAAGTTTAACATAACTGTCTGTGCTGAATCAGTCTTATTAGGTAATGTTCAAATAATGTGATCATCCCAGTGTTTTCAGTGTGGGAGAAAGTACTCAGAGTACTCAGGGCCTTCAAGTTACACACTATGAAAGGCAGAAACAAGTTCACTGCTGTAATAACTAATAATGATTAACTATAATATTGGTCATATTATATTTACACTGACTTTAGTCTCAAGAACAACGTTAGCTAATTGTTATTTAATAGCTAATCTTAAAATGACTGTTCAGTACAGAAATGAAGCCCAACAATCATGTTTTGCAGTTCCGTGGTCTCAGCCTCAGATACTCCTCAAATCACACAAAGCTCTTGTAGCAACAAATAAACAAATGAACAAAATATGTTCTTCTTCATTTCTGTCAAATAAAGCTGTATGAAACGTTTCCAGCTGTTGCTAGGCAACCTGGGCAGCACGACGGAGGCTAGACCGTCCCATTTCACAAGCCTCGCACTTCCGGTCTTAGTGGTCTTTGAGTACGCGGCCCTTGTGGACCGTTAAGGCTGCGTAGGTTAAGGCTGCAGAACCTGAATTGGGATACAGCCAGAGAGAAAGTGAGCCAGGGACAACAACGTCACATTAGAAAGGTATAGTAATTATCAAATCAACTATTTACAGTTGCGGATGATAAAGGATTCAGAAAGTTTATTCATGCAGGCGTATATGACAGAAAATGTGCATCTTCTTTTCTTTTGCATATTTTAATTTATATTTAATTGTATTGTGGTTTGCAGTGTTTTGTGTTGTTTCACTTTAAATGTGTTTAAATGGAAAAGGTTGAAAATTTAAATAGTTAAAAGTTGAAATGTAAATAGTTGTTTTTTGTATTTTATTACATTTTATGTGGAGTGAATAAATAAAAGCATATTTACAGTGGCCCCTAGAGACAAAGCACGTACAAACTCCAAACAGAAGTGCTCCAGGATGCTAGGCGCAGTGTTGAGCTTTTGTTACCTGGTGGCTACACAAGCCAGGGTGTACCAATGACCTAATTTGGTGTGTGGTAGTAACAGGTGAACATTTTTAATCATAATTATTTGAATATATAAGAGTGCTTGTGTATAAATATACAAACAATACACATATGCTTTCAATTGTGTAATTTAAGTGATCTAGGTAGCTCTGTTTTGGAAGTTCAGTTAATGCTAGACATGTGTTTTGGAGTTTGTACATGCTTTGTCTCTAGAGGCCACCGTATATATTTCTATATAAACATATATAAATAAAACCACGTTTTATTTTAAACATTAGTAATTCCTTTTGTACATAATGTTATATCATTGTTAATGATAAATTAATTAAAGCAACAAAACAACCTGAAGAGCCAGTTGGGAGCCGGTAAGCTGGCAATCTTTTTAGTGAGCTGAGCCAAAAGAGCCAGTTCTCTAAAAAGAGCCGGAATTCCCATCACTACTTTGTTGCCACTGTGAATAAGAGGTTACACTAACTCACTGCTCCATCTTCTGGTACAAACTGAAAGTAAAGCCCAGAGAACAGAGGCGATTTTTAACCCCACTTGAGATCAGATCATGTTTTTTTAATTCACTTGGTTTGGGGAAGCCTCTCCCACATTCTGTTTAAATTAAGTCGTAAATATATTTGAAATATAATTCTGTGTTCTGATGGACTCTACATTCAAGATTCAGGAAGTTTATTGTTCATATACATCACAAAAAACCAAACGGTACTCAGAGCCATGAAATTCTTCCTTAGCAGGTTCCCTTCAATGTGTGTAATCTCATGACGTTTACAATGAGCCGATGTAGGAGGCTTCTGTCAGAGTGTCTGCACTTGTATGGTTTCTCTCGTGTGGACTCATTTATGCACTTTAAGGTCACGTGCAGTAATGAAGGATGACTGACAATGGTCACAAAGGTGCTTTTGAATACCAGTGTGAAGGAGATAGTGCTTTATGGTTAATTGCTTTTTTATTAATTGACTTGATGTGGGGAAGCCTCTTCCACATTCGTTGAAGTAGTTCATTTTGTACCCAGTGTGTCTACACTGATGTGGTTTTAGGCTCTCTTGATGTTTGAAATGTTATGCACAAACAACGCAACGACACACTTTCCCACCACCACATTGACGACAGGGTTGAGAACTGGATCCATCTGTGTCGCTCTGCTTCTAAATAAAGACAGTGTAAGTCAGAGAATTCCTTCAACATTTTTATCCTGAACATTGCCTGAAATAAAGAGCATCTTTGCCAGTGTCCAATTACATTTTACTGTTTACATTATAACACTCAGCTTACTGGCCGAAAATGTCTCTTAATTCGTTGGAAATCTACTTAATGGGAAGATTGGATGTTAAACCCCTGGATGCTCTACTCTGCATGCCACAAGATAATAACCCCAAGGTACTCTCTAATGGATCCATTGGACTTTGAATGTTAGATACATAGAAATGAGACAAGGTTTAAAACTTTACTTTTTTCCAACATCAGTAAAGTTTCAGGAGATTTGTGTCAGAATTCACTGAGTTTTCATGTCTCATTTCGTTTCGAAATTAAACTAAATGCACATTGTACTTCAAAATAACTGCAACTGTAAAAAGAAAGAAATATAAATACATACCTCACAGTAACTGCACTTGTAGAGTTTCTTTCTGATGTGAATCTGTTGGTGGACTCTTAGGGAACGTGGCTCTTTAAAAGCCTTTACACATAGGTCACATTTATAAGGTCTCTCCTCAGTGTGGGTAAACATGTGCTGCTGTAAGTCTTTGTGTGTCACAAACAGTTTGCCACACTGATCACAGAAGCAAAAATCATTTTTGGTGTGAATCCGTACGTGTATATTTCGGTGCCCTGGCTGGGCAAAATTTTTTCCACAAATGTCGCAGCTGTACGGCTTGATTCCAGAGTGGGTAACTTGATGGCTTCTTAAGTGGCTACTGCGTGTAAAAGCTTTACCACACAAGTCACAGCTGTGTGCTTTAACTCCACTGTGGATGAGTTGGTGTGTTTTTAAGTGTCCAGGTTGGCTAAAAGATTTTCCACACAAGTCACAGCTGTACGCTTTAACGCCACTGTGGATAAGCTGGTGTGTTTTCAAGCTTCCGAGATGGGTAAAAGACTTTCCACACAAATCACACCTGAACGGTTTAACTCCACTGTGAATGAATTTGTGTGTTTTTAAACTTCCAGCCTGAGTAAAAGAATTTCCACATAAGTCACAGATGTACGGTTTAACTCCACTGTGGGTGATTTGGTGTGTTTTTAAGTGTCCAGCCTGGGTAAAAGATTTTCCACACTCAGCACAGCTGTACGATTTAATTCCTCTGTGGATGAGTTGGTGGGGTTTCAAGTTTTTAGGATGGCTAAAATCCTTCCCACACTCCTCACAGCTGTATTTTTTCTCTCTCTTTTTTCTGTGAGGTTTGTCGGCCTCCTGGGAGCGCTGACTTCTCGCTCCATGTTGGTCCTGCAGTGACAGAGATACAAACAGAGCTTTTAAAAAAACAAAAAACAAAAAAACAACCAGCTGTGCACAGTTTCAATAACAGTAACTGAGATATTTTCTCACCTCCTGCGTTGAAGTCATTGTTTCCTCTGTAGTGGCTGAGCTGAGTCCAAATGGCTGAAACTGTTCCTCTGCTGCTCCACCAGACTCTTCTCCTCCTGTTACTCAGCTGGGACATAAAAAGTATAGATATGTATTTTATCCCTGACAAGAAGAAGCAGAGCAAATAAACATTACTACACTCAGTGACAACAATACCTATGAAGCTTCAAGGTGAAACCCCAGAAGCAAAAAGAAAGTCATCAGCTGCCTACAAGAAGTTGAAAGGGAAAAAGCCACTGAGCTCCCTGCATACCACCACCTTTACCCGGTGGATGCTGCACCCTGTATATATGGACTTCCATAGATACACAAAGGATTGGATTGGCAGCAGCATAAACTCAGCCACCTACAACATTTCCAAGCACCTCATCACCATCCTAGCTCCCCTTGTGGAGAACACACACCATCACATCAAAAACTCTGCTGACTTCACCAACAAGGTCCACAAACTTACACTTGATCCAGATGAAACCAGAGTTTTAAATACAACAACGGTTTCTACAGACAGAAACAGGGATATGCAATTAGCTCCCATGTTTTTACTCATTGTAGCCATCCTTTACATGGAATAAGTGGAAAGAAAGGCTCTTTGCTCTTTAATAGGGACAGCAGCTAACCACATGATAGGGTGAATCAAGGTTTGAAAATGGTTTCACTCAAAATCTCTGGTGATAACGACTCACGCTTTTTCCACACGTTTGTTCTTGCGTTACGAACAAACGCAAAAACGCTGAAGGTGAGCTGATAGTAAGAGGGTCATCATCTCACAATACATAGGATTCTCAGACCTAATGCAGACCTAAGTCATGGTTTACTTGATGCCTGCAAACAGGCACAAACTGAAACTCTCTAAGGCTTTTGTAAAGACACTGAAGCAGTGGACTGATGAGGCTGTGGAGAATCTGCAGGTGTGTCTGGACTGCACCGACTGGCAGGTTTTCAGGATTGTTACCAACAGTTTGGATTATGTTACGGAATAAACATATATTCTTAATGCTTATTTTCTGATTATATTCTTTTATGTATGTTAATAATAAAGGCCTCTATAAAGCAAGGCCAGCTGTGAGAGAGAACTAGGTCAGAGGGTGACAGGTCGCCTTAGCAACAGAAGCTTAAGTTAGTGGAAGTTTAAAAAACAGGAAGTTTAGTGCAGAGCTGCACAGACATATTAATAAAATACAGGAAACCAGACAGAAAAAGTGGAACTAGTAACACAGAAGGAGGTTTTTTTTGATTGAAACTATGTGTGACGTGTAAAGGACTAAAATAACACCTATATGATTGACATTTTTGGCTTCTAATGCTAGAGATTTTGCAACTGGCTTTTTGGGCTGTGCAGGTCTCTCTCTTCTGGGAGATAATTAAATAAAAATTATAAATATTTTGATTAACTGAGTCGTGTTCTCTCTATTCAGTAAGAGAATGACAAGAACCAGATTTAATAATTATTATAGAGATGCTGTGATAACCTGTGACGTCAGCTTCTGTGAGGACAGCTGCACAGCATCAAACACCAGGGTGAGTTAGAATAATGACGAGCTCTGGTTTACAGCAGGAAGTGTTTCAGAGTGGGGACAGAGACAGTTTGAAAGACTTTCAGGTCCAAAAACTGTTTTCAGCTAATGACTCTGCTTCAGTCTGGAAAACACTCCGACAGTGAACCAACCACAAGCCTGAAGACTCCACTCCACCAACAACTCCCCCACTTCAGGCTTTCAGTTGTTTACGAGCACTTCACTGACCCTCCAAGTGAGGCCTGTAAATCTTTGCCTCCAAATGCTAAAAGTTAACATGAAAATTACACCTGTTTTTACAGGCATGTTCAAGTTTGGGATATGCAGGACTTCAGCTGGTGCAACATCATCTATGATGTGACCCAAGCCCCTGGCCCTTACCTCAAGGATTGGTTTGTTAACCATACCACAGAAAGGGTTGATGTGTGGTAGCTATGCAGGGATGGCAAGCTGAGAGCTAGACTACCCTTTGAAGGGAAAGGAACCTGTGCATTAGTTTCTCTGCTCATGCCTTTCAACTTGTTCACACTCAAAGACTTTAAGCAGTTGCCCCAAATCGTAAAGGAGTGGGGCATAGAAACTAGAAACTGGGAGTTGTCTTCCCTAAAGTAACACTGATGTATTAGCAGAAAAACACTATTCACTGCATCTTGAGTAAATATTATAAAGGAGTGTAGCATAAACAGGAGTGAAATGACAGAAAAATGTAGTAAAGCTAGGCAACACTCTTTTCAGAAAACTGAAGGAATGCATCTCTCTGTCTTCATGTCCCTCGAATCAGTCTTTTTCCTCCGGCCTTGTTGTGACTCCTCTGCCATCCATTATCCAAAGCACGGAGAGAATCATGTACAGGTAGACCATGTAACTGAACTCTTTCTGTAAGAGCATCTCACACATATCTGTTCCCAGGATAATATTGTGTATGCCATTGCTTCCTTGCAACTAAATAAATGCATTGGAGCTTGCTGCTCATTAGTGAAGTTATCTAAAATTCTAACACTACAGCAGATTGCTCTAATCCATTTCCTGTTATCAATTCAAACAGGAACCACGGACATGCTATGGCTATTCATGGTGCCTTTAGGTGCACCTCATAATTTCAGCAATCCATACTCTTAAAGACATAAAGTTGTTTAAAAGAACATTTTGGGTTAATTTTGATTTGCTGGAATAAATTATAAGTTAGTTAATACAGTATCATAACCAAGCTGTTACCAACTATTAAGCCTGTATTTTTCTCAAAGCTGTCTTCAGAAATGTGAAATTATTACATCCAGAAATTACAAGAATTCCCACATTCACGGCTGTAGCAGCATATATTCAAAGATTCATAATTAAAATCACCTTGAGGTGACTGTTGTTGTGACTTGTTGCTGTATAATTGAAATTGAATTCAAATAAAATGTTTCCTGCAAACCTTAAACATGTTCTCTTGTACACTTGTGATCATTTTCAAATTGTATGGCTGTAAAAATGTGACATTTTCTCCCAAAGTCACAGTATCAGCCCATTCCCCTGTGTAGAGACAGGCATTTTTTTATTCATTTATATTCTTTACACTCCCAACCAGTATTGTTCGGCTCAGTCACTGGGTACATTTCTGATTATTTTACATCTGGTTAAGCATCTCTATTAAGGGGTCAAAGGTCTCTCTCGTACTTTCAGCGCTGCCAAATCTGGATGTAAGTCCTCACTGCACTGTGTGTGTCTGTTCCCTGATTCAGTAAAACAGGTGCAGCTCTCCCAAAATGTGACAGCATCACTGTTTTTGTCCTCCTCTTCTCCATGTATCTTATCAGTATACAAGGCTCACACCAATGCTAATGGAAAATGTAATGCTAGTGTCATGCTAATCAACAATGTCTGTGAAGGTTCTCAGTCATTCAGGTCATCGTAATCGAAGGAGCTTAGAAAGAAAGCGACTGGACTTCTTGAAGACGTTTTACCTCTCATCTGAGAAGACAGATGATAATAAATTATAATAAAAACGCTAAGAATTATGTGTCATTTTAGTCTCTTTAATTTTCCTTAACTAAAAGCACAAGAATCAAAACAAATGCTCAGAAAACACAAGTCTTGAGAATAGAGGCTCAAATTTGATCCTATAATTGAAAATACTATAATATCATAATTATTGTTAGCTATAGATGTTGCAAATTTAAGGGATACATATACAGCAGGTGGAGAAATACTCTGATCATTGCTTTCGGTCCTCTTTGGATGCTGACTGTCTTTTGTTCTATTAAAAGTATTTCGACAGACACACAAAGCTGGACATCTTTAGTTCTGAGTCTAAGAAGGTTAGAAAAAAGTGACTGAAAATCTTGTGCAAATCTCTGCAAATGTTTCACCTCTCATATATACAGTGTAAGAGTCATTTACAGGGACTTCATGTTCTATGTGAGGTAACTTGTTTGATGCATATTCTGAAATTTGATGTTTGATAATACTGTATATTGTCATTATTTTTGGTTTATTTTGAAAAGTCTCAACAGGATCTTTAACTTTATTGTGAAAGGGTTATATGAAAAATAAATAAGCGGTCGGCTGAGCCACACGATGGTTTTACTGTCTTTGCTGACGAACCGACGCTTATCCGTCCGTAGTGTGGTTATTTTAACTGTAGGAGAAAGAAATTAATATAATAACTACAGACAGTTATGACTGAATTATATAAAGCACTGCATGAAAAACACCAACGACGTGATTACAGATATGCTGATCCCAGCAAAGAAGAACCGAAACAAAACATCCTTTTAAATAACCGTGGATGTCGTTTTTAAACCGTGGATGTGGTGACCGTGGTAAACACAAACCAGGCTGTAGAGGTTTGGTGCAGGCAGAAAAACAGCTGCAGGGACAATGAAAAGCCTTTTCTGCTCCAACTTCTCCCAGCATGCTGAGCTAATGATTAGTTGGTGTTTTTCTCCAAACACTCTCTCACTCTTCTCTCAACGTGTTCACAATAAACTGTGAACAGACACCGAGGAGAGCAGCAGAAGACCTCATTCAGGAGCTAAACTCAACATGAACTGAACTCACAGTAAAGTTAGCTCGGTGCTTACCTTTAGATGAGCCCACAAACCGAGAGAAACTCCGCGATGAAGCTGCAACTCTTTTCCAAACACAGGAAACAGATCAGGGAGCAGAGACCCACGTGGTTCACGCTGATCTCAGCTACGATCCAGGAGACAAGGGTGGGCAGATCGATGCAGATATCGATCAGGACGTTGGTAGTGGTTTATGATCGATACTTTAGTTTGTTTCTCTCCTCTAAGTTCACTACTTTACTCCCGTTTCACGACAAAGCAGCTCTCT